GGTGAGTCAAAACATACTTCTTGTATCTGTGTAACTCTGTTCACAGAGCTTAATTCAGGCTTAGTAATTTTTGACGTTTTACTGAGGTTGTGTGTAGTGCTGACACTAAGTCAACCCAGGTCCCAAGCTAAAGCTTCTGACCTATTCTGTGTGGCATCTACGCACCGTCGTAGTCGGGGATTTGGTTATGCTGGACTTCGATTCAGTATTAAGGGAGGTTTATGACGTTTATGGAGGATCTGGTGATGGTCCCCAGTTAGGGTTACTATTTTGTCTCCTTGTTCCTGATGTTTTGCTGCTGCTTGTTACAGTATTGCTATTGTCAAATGATTCGTCATATTGTTCAACCAAACTGTTTTGATTACCTTGATGGTCGAGAAGATAGATTATTTGAGAACGTTTAGCCACTGGTTATGTCTAAGTTGAGTCTAGTCTTACCGAGACATAACGAGCACCTTGAACACACATTCACACACACACACACACACACACACACACACACACACACACACACACACACACACACAGAACTGGCAGGGAAGCCAGTTAATGAGATGATGGAATATGTAGCAACAATGTGCAAGGAAGCTGAGGAGAGGTTTGTACCCAAGGGTAACAGAAATAATGAAAAAGCCAGGATGAGCCCATGGTTCACCCAAAGGTGCAGGGAGGCAAAAACCAAGTGTGCTAGGGAATGGAAGAAATATAGGCAAAGAACCCAGGAGAATAAAGAGAGCAGTCGTAGAACCAAAAACGAATATGCACAGATAAGAAGGGAGGCTCAACGACAATGTCAAAACGACATAGCAGCAAAAGCCAAATCTGACCCGAAACTGTTGTACAGCCACATCAGGAGGAAAACAACAGTCAAGGACCAGGTAATCAGGCTAAGGAAGGAAGGAGGAGAGACAACAAGAAATGACCGTGAAGTATGTGAGGAACTCAAAGAGATTCAAAGAAGTGTTCACAGAGGAGACAGAAGGGGCTCCAGAAAGACGGAGAGGTGGGGTACACCACCAAGTGCTGGACACAGTACACACAACCGAGGAAGAAGTGAAGGGGCTTCTGAGTGAGCTAGATACCTCAAAGGCAATGGGGCCAGATGACATCTCCCCATGGGTCCTGAGAGAGGGAGCAGAGGCGCTGTGTGTACCCCTAACAATATTCAATACATCTATCGAAACAGGGAGATTGCCTGAGGCATGGAAGATAGCAAATGTAGTCCCAATCTTTAAAAAAGGAGACAGACATGAAGCACTAAACTACAGACCAGTGTCACTGACATGTATAGTATGCAAAGTCATGGAGAAGATTATCAGGTGAAGAGTGGAGGAACACCTAGAAAGGAATGATCTCATCAACAGCAGCCAACATGGTTTCAGGGACGGGAAATCCTGTGTCACAAACCTACTGGAGTTCTATGACATCGTGGCAGCAGTAAGACAGAGAGAGGGGTGGGTGGATTGCATTTTCTTGCACTGCAAGAAGGCGTTTGACAGTCCCACACAAGAGATTAGTGTAAAAACTGGAGGACCAAGCAGGGATAACAGGGAAGGCACTACAATGGATCAGGGAATACTTGTCAGGAAGACAAAAGCGAGTCATGGTACGTGGCGAGGTGTCAGAGTGGGCACCAGTGACCAGCGGGGTCCCACAGGGGTCAGTGCTGTTTCTGGTATTTGTGAACGACATGACGGAAGGAATAGACTCCGAGGTGTCCCTGTTTGCATATGACATGAAGTTGATGAGAAGAATTCATTCGATCGAAGACCAGGCAGGACTACAAAGGGATCTGGACAGGCTGCAGACCTGGTCCAGCAATTGGCTCCTGGAGTTCAATCCCACCAAGTGCAAAGTCATGAAGATTGGGGAAGGGCAAAGAAGACCGCAGACGGAGTACAGTCTAGAAGGCCAGACTACAAACCTCACTCAAGGAAAAAGATCTTGGGGTGAGTATAACACCAGGCACATCTCCTGAAGCGCACATCAACCAAATAACGGCTGCAGGATATGGGCGCCTAGCAAACCTCAGAACAGGATTCCGACATCTTAATAAGGAATCGTTCAGGACCCTGTACACCGTCTACGTTAGGCCCATATTGGAGTATGCGGCACCAGTTTGGAACCCACACCTAGCCAAGCGCGTAAAGAAACTAGAGAAAGTGCAAAGGTTTGCAACAAGACTAGTCCCAGAGCTAAGAGGTATGTCCTACGAGAAGAGGTTAAGGGAAATCGACGTGACGACACTGGAGGACAGGAAAGATAGGGGGGACATGATAACGACATACAAAATGCTGAGAGGAATTGACAAGGTGGACAAAGACAGGATGTTCCAGAGATTGGACACCGCAACAAGGGGACACAGTTGGAAGTTGAAGACAGATGAATCACAGGGATGTTAGGAAGTATTTCTTCAGCCACAGAGTAGTCAGGAAGTGGAATAGTTTGGGAAGCGAAGTAGTGGATCCATACATAGCTTTAAGCAGAGGTATGATAAAGCTCACGGTATAGGGAGAGTGACCTAGTAGCGATCAGTGAAGAGGCGGGGTCAGGAGCTCGGACTCGACCCCTGCAACCTCAACTAGGTGAGTATAACTAGGTGAGTACACACACACACACACACACACACACACACACACACACACACACACACACACACACACACACACACACAACTTATATGTACTGTTATTCATATAGTTGATAACGTACCAGACGGTACTTAAGAGTCGTACTGTTACACAACGTGCCTTCAGCACTATTTTACCATATGTACAAGTTCTCTTTGCACTAAAAGAGAAGTGTAGGAGCTTATATCCTAAATTATATCAAATGTATTTACTTTCATTTTGTCCACCTAGACAACTTTGTTAATAAACATCTCAGTTTTTATTTCATTGGATTATTATCACCTAGTTGTCATCCCAAAGGGATAACTGGACGTGATCTTAATCCAACAACTTGTTACAAAAACCAGAAACAGGCTGAATGTTAGAAGGGAAGACTTTCTATTTGAAGATGTTTATACTTTATAGATATTGCCTTTTTGTAACATATAGTAGATGGAATGGAAAGGGATTAGGTACTACTGGCTTTGAAGATTGAGACACTTATGCAGCATATGGGAATCTTTATTCAGGAAACGTTTCGCCACACAGTGGCTTCATCAGTCCAATACAAAGAGGAAGGCGTAAGGAGAGGAGGAGAATGAGGTAATCAGCTTAATAAAGATTCCCATATGCTGCATAAGTGTCTCAATCTTCAACTTGTCGGTTTTTCAAACCATTCATCACTACTGGCTTTAAAAGTGCGTTTTCAAGGTCCACTTCTGCAGAGGGCAGGGCAAGGGAAAGGAAAGAGGGAGTGTGTGGAGTTAGGAGGGAGGGAGGATGAGTTGATGTTAGTGATGGTGCTGGCCCGATTCGATGTGGTTCACCGGTATTTTCCCGGCCCGGGTCTTGTCTAGTTGGTGACTCGGCAAAAGGATGCTGGACCAGAGTTGGGCCACCTGAGAGAGGTGTTGGAGTTGGGACTTTTTCGAGGAGTTCCCTGAGGTGCTTCTATCTCTGGTCCCTCATCTGCTGCTCTCCTCTGTTCTCTGTTGTTCTGTCATCTTCCAGTTCCAGCCTATGTATGTGCAATTGTACAGGCGCACTTTCTGTTGAAGGATAGAACTGCATGGGACCAGAAGGTTAATTTGTTCAGGCGTTTTTTGTCGTGGGAGAATCTCCTGATCCTCTTAAAATCTGTCATCTGCCTTATCTCTTCCTATGCAATGGATGATCGATATAATCTCACACTCATCTTTCCACTACGACCTATCTGGGCTCGCTTCAGTTTCCCGGAGACCGCGAATCAATAATGACTTCCCTCTTTCTTCTTCATATTGCCTCTCCGTCCAGATTTTTTATTTTCACTATTTCCTTTGCTGTTTTATCACCTCAACCTTCCTATCTTCAGATAGCATCACTGCCACTGATCTGTTCCCTTCGTTGTTCTCTCTGAACCTCTGTGACTCCTTTTTCATTGTTTCTGCACTACTAACCTTCCTCTCAGGTTAGGTTAGGTAAGGTTTGTCAGGAAACAGGACAAGTGTTTCCTGGCGCGGGTCTTAGTCATATGATGACCCGCCACCGAAGCTTTCGGTCATCCGACCGAGGCCTTATATTGACTTACCGGTCCACCCCTTCAAATATTAAGGTTATAATTTTAACCAATCTTCCATTTTCATCAACTCTCCCTGCTTCCCTCATTGCCTCCATGGTCTCCTACTACCCTCTTCTTCTAGTTTTAAGATGCTGTTCTCGGCCAAATTAGCTCTATTTACCTATTCTGCAACCTCTTCCCTGGCTTTGTTACACACTTTCATTGATTCTTCCGAAGGGGGTTGACTTGCCTTTGAAGCGCCTTTCTCAGTGTTTCTCCTACATAGTCTCCATCAGCCTTACCATTTCCTCCTACAACTTTATGCCCTTGTCTCTGCTATAGTTGCACTAGGTGCCTGTTCTGCAATTTCATCACTTGCTTTGTTGCATAATGCTGCAGTTTCTGTAGATAATGTAACTTTCAAACGCCTCCCTCAGTTGGGTCTTCAAGCTATCTGTTATCGTTGCCTCTTTGATGCCTCTCCCCGGTTTTGGGAGCACCTTTTACCTGCCATTTTTTTTTACACAGAAGAGTGTGTGTAAATAACAAAAAGGCACAATACCGTGATTGGAACAATACACAAATAACCCGCACATACGAGAGAGGAGCTTACTACGACGTTTCGGTCCGACTTCGACCATTTATCAAGTCACACTAACAGAAAGGAGAGAAAGGGGGCAGTATATATAGGCCAGCAGACAGGGACGGAACAAGAGAGGTAGTAGGAAAGGAAGTAGAGAGGTATTTGAAGTAGTAGTAACTGTGTGTGTGTGTGTGTGTGTGTGTGTACGGACGGACTTAGGTATGCACAAAAAAGTTACAACCATCATAAAGGCAAAGGCCTCAACCCTCACCTGAACATTTGTTCCTCTGGAGAGAAAGCCGGGAGAGTTCCATATTCAGTCCACAGATGTTTGTGTTCTTCTGGAAAGTAGTTATTCAACATTCCACCAATCTGATAAAAAAATATTCTTTATCAGGGTAATTTAGGCACGGTAAAAATAACAGGTATTGTTAGATATTGTATGAAGAGAAAGATGTACTTACGGTTAATGAGGCAAAGTTCAACTTCTGTGAGAAAAGAAACATGTAAGAGGTCAGATCACAAGAGACTCGTGCATAGTGTACCGAGTTAAGGGCAGATCAGAAAAGTTGCGATGAGGAAAAAGAAGAGATTGCTTGCCAGTGTTAGTAGGGAACTGAAGGTCACTACCACAGATTTTGCTACCATCTGTATATACAGAGGATGCAGATGCTGCCACAACTAGCAGTGTAGCTCATGGAGAGGAAAACAGTGATGCTACCGAGAAAAAATATGAGGCTTCATTTATGATAGGACTGTCAGTCCGGCTGTGGCGTCTCTAATCGACCTCACATCTAGGCTAGTGGTGGTTATGAATACATTTGGTGTCACGCGGTGATGGAACATATCACAAAGTCAAGAGAACTGCAGTCCAGGGCAAAATCATAGCTCCCGAGCCTTCCAGACAACATGCCAGTTGTTGAAAAAACTCCAAGACGAGAAGTTGATGCCACCCATATGCAGTGCTGGGAGCTTGGAGATACTTTCTGCCATGATGACCATACGATAAGCAACTAGTTTTTTTTCCTTCAATATCCTGATCTACAATAAGGTCGCGGTCATCCATCACAGTATCGGCTACCTACCCACAATTAATGTTATCTAACGTGTGTGAAGTGCTGAACTAATGACTGTTTTGTAGTCTCGGGATCTGAAAACAGGTGAACGTGCATTTGTGCTTTCATCAATATACGTACTTTTCTAGGTACCTCCATGATACTTCTTGGGTACCTCCGTGCTACTTCTTGGGTACTTCCATGCTACTTTAATAGCATGGAGGTACCCAGAGAAGTTCAAAAACATCATCTTCAGGTTAGGTGTCTTCTACATCATATTCACACTCGTGTCAACCATTGGAAAGAGACTAAAATGCAGGACTCTGGAACCTGTGGTGAGGCACTGAGGGATATACACCTCTCAGTCTACATATATGAATGGAGAGTTGTACGCATGCACTAAAATATCAAACACTTAATGTAAATTTATCTTCCTTACATTGCTTGTTCAACACATGCACAAACAGTATTTTTGAATTACATCTATTATTATTATTATTATTATTATTGGGAAGCTCTAAACATGTCATAAAAGCGCCTGGGCATGGGAATGGGAGGCAATTAGCTTTAAGGGAAGGGAGATGAATTCCTTTACCGGCATCATGATCCCCCCCATGAACTCCTAAAATCCCCAATCCCTCCCCCCACTTTAATGGGTCTGACACTAAAGTAACATTTACATGTGTCGTATAATTTTCAATATAAATATATTAAATATGTCAATTGATGCCATAAACTTTCCGTCACAGTTCTTGTGGTTTCCTGAATAAGTGAATAATTAACCACAGGCAAAAATTATACAATGTTTTATTTTTTGTATACACGTAAACTAATTGACAGATGAATAAAACTTTATTAAAGCGAAATGCAAGGCAAAGAAAATTGCTTCTTGTATTTATAAGCAAAACAACACAAAGGCTCATCTTGTGGGAATTATTGGACGACTCTGAAGGATATATTTATCAATGATCACTAGGCATTTAGGGGGGTCTAAAATGTTGGCGAATAAGAAAATGTAATAGTGACTTGTCCTAAGACTGGACATATAAGACAGTATTAAACCAAATATGCAATATGGATGCCTCCCCCTTCCTCAAAAAATGATTGTTTTAAGGGTGGAGGGGACATTAAGATAAGATAGGATTGTGTTCGGATTTTTAACCCGGATGGTTATCTCAGTAGTATCAGTTTACCAGTATCAGTAGTAATGACTCATACCAACCGTCTGCGTGAATCGCTGACTGTTATTCACTGTTACAGCTGACCTAGTGTGGCATGCAAAGAGTACGTAACCTTTATTCGGCGCATGTACACACCCTCATTTACAGGCTATCTCCCCCAACCAGCGAACCAGGGAACTGAGAGTTGACGATGGGGCCCTGTCGTTCAACCATTACCCAGGTTCCAGCCAATAAGATGGTTTTGGCAATTGCAGAGATTATGTGGGTACCACTCTCCTGTCTGCCCTTGTCATTCCCATTCTAGAGCTGGTTGAAGCGTGGTCTGCTCTCTAGTGGCTTCTATTCTGCCTTGCTTACCGTGGAGTCCACTAATACCTATCGCTGTACATAGTGTATATACTTCTGTTCTAAATTGGTGAAGGATAATGTAAGTCAAAAGTTTTCTGCTGTGTTTATTTTGCTTCCTTTTCATTTGGACTCCTGGGTTGTAATACCTAGCATGATTTGAATGCTGCTCACCCTCTAGGCACCACTGCGAGTCAGTTGAAGGCTAGACAGGAGAGATGCAGGTCAGGCTCGGCACTTCTCATATATTCCGTCTAATATACGCACTTGCATCCTATGTTAGTGTTGTTACCCAATACACGTTTCAAATTCCATGTGACAATTTGGTGTGGAGACCCCATCCACTTCACTGGATCAATCCATTTCACCTAGAGGAGAAAGACTTAGCTCCCACTGACTTCCTAGATGAGGTCTAGTGTTTGTTGATTCTGTTCAGCAAACGTTGTAAAGCCATTGCCTCACCAGGTGAGAAGATGGGTACAATGAACTTAGGTCTGGTGCCAATATCTATATACCTGTGTAAAGAATGCCTCATTTACAAGTTGCTGTTGCAGAAGAATTAATCAGTTAGATGCTTGATGATGGCATTATTGCACCTAGCAATTCACCCTGGAATGCACCCTTGATCCTAGTACCTAAGAAGGATGGTACTTGACGAAATGCGAAAACTATTCCAGATTGCTTCCCACTTCCTGTACTTGGTGATCTTTTACGTAACATCGGAGATGACAGTCTTTTCGACCCTGGACTTGTTACAAGGGTTTTGACAAGTCCCTCTTCACGAGGACAACCAAGAGCTAACTGCATTCTCCACTCCCACAGGTCATTATCACTTCCTCCGTATGGCCTTCGGGTTACAATCTCATTCATCACATTCTCAAGGCTCATGACTATCTTTAGAGGCCTCATAGGTAATGCACTTATGGTGTACTTAGATAACATAATCGTCATGTCTGAAGACGTGGATACACACTTGAAAAGACTTGACGTAGTACTTGGTAAGCTTGAAGCCAATTTTAAGATCAAACTGTCTAAATGTCAATTTTTCGGATAAATCAAATTTCTTAGTCACGTAGTTCTAGAGGCGTTACGATTGACCTAAGTAAAGTAACTGCAGTACTAAATTTTCCATCTCCCAAAACTGCTGATGCCATAAGATCCTTTGTGGGCTTAGCAGGTTTTTATAGATCTTTCATTGCCAATTTTTCTTCCATAGCAACTCCTTTAACTGAGTTGCTTAAGAAAGATGCTCCTTTCATTTGGACCTTCTGTCAAGAAAAAGCATTCCAAACTCTAAAAGAAATAATAACATCTGCTCCAATTTTGAAATTTCCAGATTTTTCTAAGCCCTTCTATCTGACAATTGATGCTAGTTCAATTGGCATAGGTGCCATACTAACTCAGAAGACTGATGGCAAGTACAACGCAGTTGCATTTGCTAGCCAAGTCCTTATGAAGGCTGAACATAATTATACAGTAACTGAGCAAAAAGCTTTACCAATAGTATGGTCTTTAAAGCACTTCCGAGACATTATTTAGCAGTACTGTTCATGTCTTGACAGACCATGCTCCACTGATACCTTTATTCCAGAACAAGCAACCTACTGGAAGGTTAGCAAGATGAACCTTGGCTATCCGAGAGTTCAATCCTACCTTTGAACACTTACCTGCCAAGTCAAATGTAGTCGCAGATTCTTTATTGCGACATGTTAGTGTAGTAACTGCAGATGCTCCATTTACTGCCGAGGACGTAAAGAATGCTCTAAGAACAGATCCCATGTGGTCTAGTGTGATTCGATTCCTGCTCCAGGAAGATCTTATTCTGACTGTGAAGCCACCAGCACTCATCAGTGACTATCATGAACCAAGAATTACTGTATCAAACAGCCGAGTTGGGTACTCCTGGCAGACGGGTATACCAATTAGTAATTCCACAGTCACTAGTGAATGTAGCCTTACAGCTAGTTCACGATGTACCAGGTGTTGCACACCCTGGCATGGATCGTTCTGTAAAGCAAGCCAGATTGAAATACTTTTGGCCTCGTATGGCAACTGATATTTCTGAGTATGTTAAGAAAGGTAGTGTGTGTGTGCAACATAAAGGTAATGTTAATGATCCTAACCCAATCCAGGTGTATCTAACTACTAGTAAACCATAGGAAAGAGTTGCACTAGATCTGTTAACTAATGTCCAATGTTCCCTCCAGGGCAACAAACATCTGTGTGTTATGGTAGATCATTTCACCAGATATTGTGAGTTAGTGCCTATTGCAGATAAGACTGCCAAGACAGTAGGTAAAGCGTTTAAAGAGCGCATTATCTGCAGGCATACCACCCCTAAGTCCTTAGTAACAGATAATGGAGGTGAGTTCTGTAATGAGATTCTTGAAAATTTGTGTACCTTGTACAAGATCTTTAAATTCACCATTGTTCCTCATCATCCTGCCAGCAATGGGTTAGCAGAACGAACCAATAAGAAAGTGGCTCTCAATATATCAAGTACTATCAATCCCAATAGTGAAACTTGGGATGAAGTTATTCCTGATATTCAGTGTGCCATAAATTCTGCTTACAATGTTTCTATAGGTGACACTCCACATTAAGCACTGTACATTGTTGATAAGCATTTGCCTTATGAGTTATATTCTAGCCCGTAACCAAATTACAATCCTGATGATTTCATAGCAACCCGTACCAGCTTAGCGCAGTGTCTTTAGAAGAATTCGTGAAAGATTTCATAAATCAACAGCAGAATTTACGAGAGTCGCTAACAAAATTACAGTAGGCTCAAGAGTTATGCTGACTAACTTTAACAAAATGTCTGCAATGCCTAAGCTCGATCAGAAGTTTGTTGGTCCTTATCGAGTAGTTGAACATATTAATGGTAATAAGTATAAGATTAGAGAAATTAGTACTGGTCAGTATAAAGAATTGCATTTAGATCATATGAAGTTAGTATGTGATGATAATGATTTTCCAACCCAGACTAATGTGACAGACTGACAATCCTCCTGACTCTATACCCTTTACCTCTAATACTCAGTCAGACGATCAGCCTGAATGTCATTATTCCCTCTGTACACAACAGGTATTGAGAAACCTTCAAGTATCATTTCTAACTACCAATTCAGATCTGCCTCAGCCATGGCATGAGTTAGCCAGTGCAACAGAGTTTGAGCCTCCCAGAGATGATACCCATTCTGCAGATGTAAATCTCACCCTAGCAGAGTTGGGGTAAATGTAAATAACCTGTATAGATGAATAATATAGTTTACAATGTATTTCTATTGTCTACTACAATATCAACTTCATAATATTCAAGATTTTTTGTGTGTGTGTGTGTTTGTGTGTGTGTGTGTGTGTGTGTGTGTGTGTGTGCACGTTCTCTCTGAATTCTGAGATCTAACAGACTAGATTTGAGTGCACCAAGTCTGCCTTTTCTGTTAAACACTTCTTTCTTTGTATATATTTCTTCCTCAGAAGCTGTAGATCACATGAATACAGATCGACCGATCAACTTTTTTTTATCACTTTTATTGTATAATCCCAATACTGAGTCTCATTCTTTGCCTTGCAATATATCATACCTTGTAATGCATTACAATAGGTTCCATTACAATAAGTTCCATTACATTTACATTTACAGGCGACGGAAAAGAATAACAGAGCGGCTAAAAGAGGTCAATATATCTGAAATGTGTAGGGAGACACTGGTCAGAGAAATAGCAAGCATCGAACTTAAGCTAAAGGAATCTTATAGGAGTCAGGAATCGCGGGAAGAACTAAAAGCCATAAATGAAATCGAAAGAAACCCAAAGTATTTCTTCTCCTATGCCAAATCAAAGTCGAGAACAACGTCCAGTATTGGGCCCCTACTTAAACAAGATGGGTCCTACACAGATGACAGCAAGGAAATGAGTGAGCTACTCAAGTCCCAATATGACTCAGTTTTTAGCAAGCCGCTAACCAGACTGAGAGTTGAAGATCAAAATTAATTTTTTATGAGAGAGCCACAAAATTTGGTTAACACAAGCCTATCCGATGTTATCCTGATGCCAAATGACTTCGAACAGGCGATAAATGACATGCCCATGCACTCTGCCCCAGGGCCAGACTCGTGGAACTCCGTGTTCATCAAGAACTGCAAGAAGCCCCTATCACGAGCCTTTTCCATCCTATGGAGAGGGAGCATGGACACGGAGGTCGTCCCACAGTTACTAAAAACAACAGACATAGCCCCACTCCACAAAGGGGGCAGTAAAGCAACAGCAAAGAACTACAGACCGATAGCACTAACATCCCATATCATAAAAATCTTCGAAAGGGTCCTAAGAAGCAAGATCACCACCCATCTAGAAACCCATCAGTTACACAACCCAGGGCAACATGGGTTTAGAACAGGTCGCTCCTGTCTGTCTCAACTATTGGATCACTACGACAAGGTCCTAAATGCACTAGAAGACAAAAATAATGCAGATGTAATATATACAGACTTTGCAAAAGCCTTCGACAAGTGTGACCATGGCATAATAGCGCACAAAATGAGTGCTAAAGGAATAACAGGAAAAGTCGGTCGATGGATCTATAATTTCCTCACTAACAGAACACAGAGAGTAGTCGTCAATAGAGTAAAGTCCGAGGCAGCTACTGTGAAAAGCTCTGTTCCACAAGGCACAGTACTCGCTCCCATCTTGTTCTTCATCCTCATATCCGACATAGACAAGGATGTCAGCCACAGCACCGTGTCTTCCTTTGCAGATGACACCCGAATCTGCATGACAGTGTCTTCCATTGCAGACACTGCAAGGCTCCAGGCGGACATCAACCAAATCTTTCAGTGGGCTGCAGAAAACAATATGAAGTTCAACGATGAGAAATTTCAATTATTCAGATATGGTAAACACGAGGAAATTAAATCTCCATCAGAGTACAAAACAAATTCTGGCCACAAAATAGAGCGAAACACCAACGTCAAAGACCTGGGAGTGATCATGTCGGAGGATCTCACCTTCAAGGACCATAACATTGTATCAATCGCATCTGCTAGAAAAATGACAGGATGGATAATGAGAACCTTCAAAACTAGGGAGGCCAAGCCCATGATGACACTCTTCAGGTCACTTGTTCTATCTAGGCTGGAATATTGCTGCACACTAACAGCACCTTTCAAGGCAGGTGAAATTGCTGACCTAGAAAATGTACAGAGAACCTTCACGGCGCGCATAACGGAGATAAAACACCTCAATTACTGGGAGCGCTTGAGGTTCCTAAAACTGTATTCCCTGGAACGCAGGCGGGAGAGATACATGATTATATACACCTGGAAAATCCTAGAGGGACTAGTACCGAACTTGCACACGAAAATCACTCACTACGAAAGCAAAAGACTTGGCAGACGATGCAACATCCCCCCAATGAAAAGCAGGGGTGTCACTAGCACATTAAGAGACCATACAATAAGTGTCAGGGGCCCAAGACTGTTCAACTGCCTCCCAGCATACATAAGGGGGATTACCAACAGACCCCTGGCAGTCTTCAAGCTGGCACTGGACAAGCACCTAAAGTCGGTTCCTGACCAGCCGGGCTGTGGCTCGTACGTTGGTTTCCGTGCAGCCAGCAGCAACAGCAACAGCCTGGTTGATCAGGCTCTGATCCACCAGGAGGCCTGGTCACAGACCGGACCGCGCGGGCGTTGACCCCCGGAACTCTCTCCAGGTAAACTCCAGGTATGTATAATGTTCAATTGTTGTGTACTTTGACATTGTATAGAATCAGCCCCCAAGCCATACGCCTGTTCTCTCTAGTTGTATTAGCAGTATGTTGGGATGCCAATCAGTTACCAGTGTCAGTAGTAATGACTCATACCAACCGTCTGCATGAATCACTGACTGTTATACACTGTTACAGCTGACCTAGCATGATTTGAATGCCACTCACCCTCTAGGCACCACTGTGAGTCAGTTGAAAGCTAGACAGGAGAGACGCAGGTCAGGATTGGTGCTTCCTACATATTCCGTCTAATATACGCACTTACATCTTACGTGAGTGTTATTACCCAATCAACATTTTGAACCCCACATGACAGTTAGCCACCCAAGATAATCCCATAAAGTTGAGGACTGTCTTATTTCCACTAGGGCTATTTAATTAATCCTTTCTTCCAGGATGCGACCCACAACAATTGACTAACACTCAAGTACCTACTTATTGCTAGATTAACAGAGGTAGCAGATATAAGGAATAGTACACAATGTTTCCATCTGTGCTGGGAATCAAACCATGAACAATCAGTGTAGGAAATTACCTGCAGAAGGTTTACAGGGTATTGAATTATTTCCTGCAAGTAATTTGGGTGAAGTGAGTGGGACTTAGTCACAGTAGATAGCCAAACTGTCACTCCCTCGATGCCCACTCCCTACCACTCCCACTAAAAAAGCTAGACCTAACATTAAATTAATTACAATATTAAAACCAGCTACTCTGGTAAATTAAAATTGTGGACTGCTGGGTACACAAAAGAAATTCGTATTGCCACTCGCCATTTATCACAGGTAGACAATGCTGATGGAATACACCCTAACTTTACCCTAGCAGCTAGGCTTTACAATGGCTAATGCAAAAAGCTACTGTACCTTATGGGTAAGCATCACTTAGCTGAGGTGTGCTCCTGGGAGAATTGGTGTCCAATATTTTTCCATCCTGGTTATCGAATTGTAAGGGTTTTCCACATCATTTATCCCAATTCTTCAGCAGGAATGTAAAAGCAATTTCTAAATTAAGGATTGAGGCCAATATACACCAACTGAACTTCGAGAACGCCTGATTACATTGTACAGTTCAGTCCAGTGTTCACACATTAAATTCATTATGGCGTCACTCTGCTGCGTCACTTCCCCGGCTCTTCCTCACGCCCTCCCCCTTCACTTGAAATTTCTCGAAAGGGTCAAATGAGTATTACATTTTATTACATAATTATTGTATTATTCAATTTTACACATGCTGAATTTAGGAAAATCCGAAATTTTCCACTCAGTATGAAAGCTGACAGCGTTATGAACCAAGCCACAGGACACCTGACAGAATACCAAAGAACAAAATTATCGCAATAAATGGAAAAGCGAACTCAAAACAAATTCATGCCACTACAGTTAATACTGTTATTACCTCAAGGATGGTAGACGCGTAGCTTTTGCCAGCATAAATAGGTGTACAGCCTAGATAAGAGTAGCACGCCAGAACTCCGCCTGGCTTCAGCACTCGTGTCACCTGCAGAGGAAAACACAAGAAGTGGTATGTGAGGCTGTGAATAAAATGGAAGGGTGGGGGGTAAAGCAGCTGGGATTGATGGGAACAAGACATGTTAAAAAGCAGGTGGGGATATAGGTTTGGAGTGGTTAGTGCTTTTATTTCCATAAATGGCTACAGGAAAGTAAGATCCAGTTCATGGTCCACTAAGTAGATCTTCACCAATAAAAGCTCTAGTGAACCTTATAATTATTCAGAGAGATTCCACAGTTGATGATTCTCTTAAGTAATAATTTTCATAAAATCATTTCATATTTATTATTTTAATATTTCTAAACTTTGCAGAAATCTTTATCACATTTTTGGTTGTTATTTAATATTTTACAATGGTCAGTCGTCCTCGTGGAGAAAATTTCTTAGGCCAGAAAATTAAGCATTAGTTGATAGCTAAGAGACAGGTGTATTCTTTCTATAGAACTAAAAGCTTTTTCAAACCTTACCCTTTTTTTTACATCTTTATTTCTACAAGTACATGTACAAGGTATACAGGCATAGCTGACATCAATGACATACTACTATATAGAAAGCCGCTTGTTATGCAAAACATTTTGGGTAAATTAGGTCAGCTTTGTCCCGGGATGCGACCCACACCAGTTTGACTAACACCCAAGTACCTATTATTACTGATGGGTGAACGTGGACAACTGTTGTACGGAAACGCCCTGTGTTTTCACCCTTACTGGGAATCGAACCCACAATCTCAGCATGTGAAGCTAGAGCTTTGCCTACCAGGCCACGAACCACCTTGATGATTATTTTCTATCTGTACTTGGGGAGGAAGGGGGTACTGCGCAGTCTAGTTCATGCTATGGCCACATAGGCTGTAACTTCATCCAAGTTGACTGCTGCCTGAGAAAGTTTAATTAAATGCTGCCCTGTGCCTTAAATCTGCATGAAGAACCATATATTCCTAGTCTCTGCTCGCTTCAAAGCTCTGGGTGGTTGGCGATAAAGCATTTTGGCCTCAAAAAAAAAAAAAAAAAAAAAAAAAATCTCAGTAGTTTTCTGAACACTTGACAAATACTTCAAGGTTACTTTTATACAAGTGCTTATGCATGTCGCATTCTCAGCATGGTTACTCAGTTGGTTCTTGCCAGCAAATGAATAATTAACTGCCTAGACGGTGGGTATAATACCCTACATCAGTTCTAGGAGATCAAAGAAATAATACCTGGAAATCTTATTTTAATTATTCAGGAATCTAGCCCAACATTACCATGCTTTTTGTAACAAAGATAGGAAGGCCAGACAGAGAGTTTGCCTCCCAGGAGCTTGTGTTGGCGACAAAGTCAGCAGGTTGTATAATATTATGTCAAGTAATGGGAACAAGCTCATTATCTGTTTTAGTGCTGGTGGAAATGACATTGGGAAGGGCAGGAGACAGGAGCTGCTGGATAAGTACAGGTCAGCCATAGATGTAGTCAGGTCTAAGGGAGGTATCCCAGTCATATGCAGCTTCTTGCCTAGAAGGGGAGTGGGCAATGAATGGATGTCTAGGGCAATTGGTATAAATTGCTGGCTAGACAGGTACTGCAAGAAACTTGCAGTCCCATTCATTGATAACTGGGACAAATTATATGGCAAAAGTGATATGTATGCAACTGATGGAGTTCGTCTCTCTGGGGCTGGAGTCATTTCATTAGCTAATTCGATTGATTGGGTCATTCATGACTTGTCCAGAACTTCAAACTGGTTGATTATAGAGGTATGGGTGTTTGTGAAAAGCAATCAGGCTGCAGTACTAGAGTTGAAAACAGCAGACAGTACCAGGATACCCCGGAGATGTTTAAAATACAATATTCAAAATAAAGTTGCTAGTAAAGGCAAAGCAATTATTCCACAAAGAGAGATAGTAAAGATCAATGAGTGACTAGCTCCCTTAAGGTTTACTATACAAATAGGAGGAGTCTAAGAAATAAGATAGATGAGCTAAGATTACTTGCAAGTGCAAGTAATAAGGATATTATTATAATGAAGACCTGGTTCAACTTGAAAGATAGAGAAATGCCTTCTGAATGCAACATACAGGGTTATAAACTATTCCACACTGATAGGGTCAACAAGAAGGGTGATGGAATGGCGATGTATGTCAGAGATAATTTAAATTATTGTGTTAGACTAGATATAAGATTAGAAACATCTGACACAGAATCTGTTGGGCTACAGTTTCTCGAGGGACGTGAAAAATTAATTTGGAGTGGGATTTATAGGCCCCCAGACCTTGATAGGGAGTGCAGTAAGCTGTTATGGGTCAAAATTGGTAAGGCATCTGTTACGACTTAATCTTCACCGTAACAATAGGGGCACAAATAACTCTCCATTTTTTAAGTTAGTTTTATTTTATTACCAATCATTTAGTTTCATTGGTACTTGGTTAGTGAATTAAAATAACCACAAGCAACTATAAATACTATACAGCAAAGGAACATAATCTTACGTTTAAATTCTTATTAACAGAGTATGATACAATAATTTCAATTGATAATCCACTAATCTCACCATTCATCGCTTTTAGAAAGGTCTTGGGTGACGAAATGCTTATCTTTCATAAGTGACATGAATTACCAGACTTCAGGAAACTAATGGCAAAGGCAAGACAATAGACTTGGTTTAAAGTTTTAGTTTAAGCTAAGAGCTTTGGGTTGAAGACCCGTACCGAGTCAGAGCTAGGAGCTGACTGCCCCACTCAACTACTCCATAGTCTGACTTCAGCTCGGCCAGAAGGCGACGCGTGGCGTCAATTCTGGAACCACCAATTGGTCACTACAGTAGTGGTTACACATTCGTAATACCTAACCTAATATAATAATAATATAATGCAATATAATATAATACAATGAGTACTTTTGATGATTTATACTGTACCCGATAATAATATATAGTCGAACCTGCTTAAACTAGCTAGTAATAAAGTGGTCCACGATATATTATTACAGAACTTATTTTAACCAGGCCTTTTATTTTTGTATATAATGGAGTGTGAAGGAGGGGCGCGTAACAGCATCTAAATATGAAAATGTTGTGTTAATGGGAATTTTTAACTTTAGACAAATTGATTGGAACAATGTGACAGGAAATCTTGAGTCTTTTTTTTTTTTTTATTTTATTTAAAACCATACAAAAAGACAATAGACAAAAGAAAAAACCATAAAGATGACAATATATGACAATAACTGAAAAACATTACATTAGATATTGAAACAATAACAAATAACAAATATGACAACTATAACCAACTATAAAATCTGATACCGAAACTTAAAACTGTCCTATACTAGATACATGTGGATAAGTTAACATTCGTAAAAAAACATACAACCTATATTAACCCTTCCTCCAATTAATCATATATTGTTCGCATCGCTTCTGGGCCGTGCGGACCTGCTGCACAGACGCTCCTGATTGAGTTGGCTTTTGCGCAGTTTACCTGACTGAGCTGCTGCTACTGGCGTTAGCTGGTGAAAACTTTATTTTCCAACATGGCGCTGCATAGCAGCAGGCGCATCAACACTGTCTGTGTTGAGTTGGCCCGTGGGGCTGTCACGGGAGCCACGATGGATTTGTTACTACCGGCGTTTATCTGTGATACCTACGGTATCGCAAATGAAGAGATATGTGGTGTAGCACTTAATGGGACGACACGGATCTTCGTTAAATTGACGTCAGCAAATGTCTACAAAGCGGTGGTTGATAAGTATCAAGAGACCATTATAGCCGTCAATTCAGCTGTATCAGTACGTCTTCATGATGTATCTCGACACTACACATGGGTAAAAATCAGGAATGTGCCTTTTGAGGCGACTGATTTTTTTATAAAATATTACCTCTTCAAGGGGGGCTCCTTGGCGTGGTGAAGAGGCTCTTGGTCTGAAGAATTAGACCTGTCGGTCTACTTCCTCAGACCGAACCTAATTACCCTCTAATCCCCCGTTCCCTATCCCATCCTCCCCATCCTCCCCTTTTTCCTTTCCTCCTCCTCCTCCCCACCCCTCCCTTTTGCCCTTCCTTTTTGGCCTTTGGTTTTTTTTTTTTTTTTTTTCCCACAGGCACGCTAGTTCCTAGGTAGGGGAAAGGGTACCGGGGTCCATCCCATTCCGTTGAGGTTCTTGGCAGTGGCGTAGTTTGCCGTGGAATCTGGATTGCCTGGGGATGTCCTGATCCCTCTCCGGTATCCCGGAGGGTGGCTTTGGGTGTCTCTAGGGTGACGGGTGTATCTCTGGAAGCCACCTTTTGGATTCCGGGGGTGGTGGCCGAAGGGGGTATGCTTTGTGGCGGGTTTCTGGCCGCCCTCTCTTTTGTCCACCGAGGTAGCTCGGCAGATGTGAGGTTCCTATCCCGGATTGCCGGTTTACTGGCATGATGGGTAGGGTATGGCACGGGTTCCATGCTGCATCTGTGCTACTTGCGGTGCTGAGGTCCTCTTGGGCGTGGAGGGAGATTTCTGTCCCTTTCATTCCTCCTAGGAACTATCCCTCCCCGGTCCCCCCTTTTTTTATTCTTTTTTTATTTTTATTTTCTTTCTTTTTTTTCTTAAAAACAAAAAGAAAGAAGTAACCTAACCATGGCAGCCCTAGTCCATGAACCTGCTACCCCCGGGCCCCTTCTTGATACCGCACCCCGTTCTGACCCCGCCTCATCTTTGGACCACTCTTCGGACACTCCTCATGCCTCTGTACCACTTGCCGGTGCTGTTTCCTCACCCACTTCAGGTACTGAGGCCTCGACTGACTCCTTCGATTTATCTGACCCTCGCTCTCCTCTGACTATGCTTCCAGCCTCTCCCTCTATGGTGCAGCAATTTTCGAATCGCCGACCCATTCCACGTCGGACCAACTCTGGTCCCACGCCTAAACGCCAACAACAATTACCTGCTGATGATACTTCTCCACCTTCTCGTTCTTCTCAGAAAAGATCGACACGTCCTTCACTACCTTTCCACGCTCAGTTTCAGGCTGCACAAT